TATTGTTGTTATAAACATCACAAATGTCTACTTCACGGTACTTAACCTCTTCAGTATACGTTAGTAACTCTACAAACATAAACCCTACCTTTTGACGGGGCCCTTTTGACAAATACGTCGTGCAAGATAAAAGTATTAAATCAATTAGCGTGTTATCGGTTCATCCTTTCATCTGTGTTTTTTTTTTAACTCAGCTGATAATTCCTTATGCTGCACCTCCATGCATATATTACATAACATGTAGTACATCAGACCTTACTTTAAAATGTTGAATATTTAGTGCAGACATGAGAAATGCTAAATGGGAATCTTTGTCGGGTATTCTGAGTTACCACCAATTATACCTGTTATTAATTCACTAACTGACTATCAAGTGAATGATGACAAATAAACGGGCTTAGGTTTATATCACCAAACACGGGTTACAGCAAGGGAGTAGTAATCGCTGTATTGCATGCATTGTTAATTGCCTACATAATCTTAGGGATATACGCTGTGTTGTTTTAAAGAATAGGTCATCAAACATCATATTGTTTCTTGATATGATCGAAATATCGAGGTAAAAACACAGAAATAGGATCAAATTGGATCGGTCATCATATGATCAACGCATCGGAAAATCCGAATAAGGTTTACACTGCTGGAGTACTTTCTTACTATTACAGGAAATACACCCACCGTTCTTATTGTTTCATTGTTTAGGTTGAAGAAATTCTGCCAAGGTGGGCAGCTGCCCAGTCCCTGTGTCCGTCTCGGTCGAGGGAGCAGGTGCTGCCCACCTGGCAGTCAGACCACGTACTAAAATTGTTGTCCTGAAACCGGAAGCGCTTGATTTGGAATGAATGAGGCCCCGCGAGATGTGACGGATATTGTAAAAACAAACAATTTACATAAACACATATTGCAATTATCAGTGTTTTTCTAAACTTGTGAAGGGTAAGCAGACTATTGGCATGTTTACAATAGAATTGAAAAAAAATATAATTGAGTACCCATAAGTCTTTGTTTGAAATGCCGCCATCTTTGTTCAAACGTACACGCGCGAGATTGGAAAGAACTTTTTGTTGTTGTTTTGAAGTAAAGTCTATGAGAGTAAGGTAGTAGAAATGGCAGTCTGTATACTTGCTACAGTTTTCTTGACACATGGGAACATACTTGACAATCGAAGCTTTGGAACCAAGGATCCGGGAACTTGAGCGATCTCAACGGAAACCCAGGACAGGAATTAGCAGTACCCCGTCCTTGTCAGGTAGGTTTCAGATGAAATTCATTATTTTCTTATCATAGCAGTCAGTTTGCATCGAATTAAACGTTTTCGGTAGCAACCTTTATCTTACAGTAACGGTGCGCTCGCATTTCGATTTCGCTCACGGTTATTAATGTGGACATTGCATTTTGGTGTGAAATCTGTTAAAAAAAACATATTATTGTTGATACCAGCTGAACATTCCGTTAAAATATAACCATAACACAAGTATGCCTTTGTGTTCCTGTACGTTGAGTCTGATATGCAGCAAGGCAACAAATATAGATAAAACAAGTAATTCATGATAATTAGGTGGAAATATTACCAATGTTCATGATCAAAATGTGTCTCTTTTTGTTTTAGGCTGTTGTGAGAAGAATCATGGAAAAGTCCGTGGAGTCCCTTGAAAATTCACCAAGTTACTTAAGGTAAAATAACTTTCTCCAAGTTTTATTATTGCTCGACATCATCATCAATATATATGTTGGGTTTTGTAAGATGTTATTGACAAATGTAAACTAAAATTAAAATTGTCATCAACTCGTTTATTGTTCACAATTGGGTAAATCTAGCATCTAATTATTTCATTCTGTCAGTTATCTAGTAGAATTACACAGCATACCATTATGTAGTGTATAGTTTCTGCATAATCATGTCGATCATGTTAATAGAAAACTTCTCATACCCTCTCAGTAATGCATATACCACAATTACTTATTACTTGGTTTGATACATGGTGAATATGACAATGATCAAAATAATGAATGTTTGTAGGATTGTAATAACCTATTATTGGACAAATCAAAATGAACTCATTTGCTTTTTTTAGTAGAAGCCTTTTGGATAATTTGGAGGTGCAAGAGGGACGATCGACGTCGGCAGATTACAGGAAAGGAAGAAAAACACAGGGAAGATGCTATAAGAAACAAAAGAATCCGATCTGTAAGTTCCTGACACTGGATTATATAATATCATTTGTATCGGTTTATAGACTTCCTGACACCAGTTTGAAACACCCTGAGTCACTTAACTGACATGATGTGCTACATATTATCACATCGCTATATACCTGTAATAGAATAACTTTCCTTATCTCATGTCATTACCCATCACCGTAATGTGCCATTATCTAATTAGACCAAGTGCCGCTCTCAAGAATAAATGTTGGACATAACTTTCGCAATGCAAGAATTTCATTTTTCTCCCCAGAAACTCCAACAGCGCCTGAAGAATCTAGCTACTATTAACTGGGCAGAGAAAAGAACATAGAAGGTGGCTGCAGTCCTAACACCAGAATTGGCATCGCCAGTGGTGTCTGACGCTCCAGAGGCAAAAATAAAGAACTTGCGACACCATCCAACAAGATGCATTCCAACCACGTAAAGATCTTCCACCCTGGTCATTGAGAATATGATTCATGATAGTTAGGGATAGGATGGAATGTCTAAATGCACATTCAATTATTTCCTGTATCCACCCTGTTTAGGAAATAACAACTCAATTTGTTGTTTCTGAGTCTAAGATTAAAAAGAAATTAACCCTAACCTTAACCCTTCATATTAAAAAAAATGCCAACCCCTCCATAATATTTATTTGAACAAACTACTACTCAGACAAAATTTCAAATCCATAGGGCCTGTGATGACACCACTCTCTCTCTCTCTCTCTCTCTCTCTCTCTCTCTCTCTCTCTCTCTCTCTCTCTCTCTCTCTCTCTCTCTCTCTCTCTCTCTCTCTCTCTCTCTCTCTCTCTCTCTCTCTCTCTCTCTCTCTCTGAATACCCTTAAACCTGTCTTAGCATAATAATATTAATATTAAATAATAAATATAAATGTACATACCTGTTAGTGTGCAAGTGGTTCGTGTATGTTTTTTAGTGTGCATTCCTCTCTGAATAAGGAGAAATCAACTGACGGGACCTTGTGATTTGTGACAATGTATAATTGTAACATTGAAACATAGACATGATGTGGTTATGATGAATAAAGAGAAATCGACTGACTGACTGATTTTGTATTTATTTATTTCTATGTCCATGTGGTGTTCAGGTAACTGTAGTTGAAATGAATGTTTTATATTTGAATGTATTATCAATAAAATATATGACATAATACATTCAAATATATAATAAATTTATTTCAACTACAGTTAATATAGTTGAATAATCATAATTTAATATGGACATATGGTAATCACTGAATACTAATAATTGAAACCAAATGGAGCCATACAGATTCTGATTTACTGAAACTTATGGATTGTTGTTAATGTGATTAATAGAAACGGAAATCAAAGGGAAACATAATTGAACTAAGTAAATAAATGAAACCATCTTAAAGTAGAGGATAAGGGAAACCCAATGGAACCTCAAAGGAATCTGGGTAACTGAAACTCACTGGAGCCATACAGGAATCTGGTAACTGAAACTCACTGGAGTCATACAGGAAACTGGGTAACGGAAACGCACTGGAGCCCTACAGGAAACTGGGTAACGGAAACGCACTGGAGCCATACAGGAAACTGGGTAACGGAAACGCACTGGAGCCATACAGGAAACTGGGTAACGGAAACGCACTGGGGCCCTACAGGAATCTGGGTAACGGAAACGCACTGGAGCCATGCCGGTTTCTGGGTAATTTGTAAGTTTCCGTTTTCCGGAAACCTGAAGGAAATGTAGAGAAACCGTCCGGAAACCTAACTGAAACTTAAGTTTCCGTTATATTTCCGTTAGGTTTCCGGTGTCCCGAAACCAAGTTATTTTTCCTGTGATACTTTTAGATGTTGGGCTAAACAGAACGGTTCGCAGATTCTGTAATTGTGTTTTACTACCGCTAAATTTGAAACAGTACAAATTTCAAAATATCCTTTTGTTTCAATTGATAACCCAACTGTTTATTTATGTGGACGGAAGGCATTAACATTTCTTCGGCGTTCGATGTTAATGCATCCTCCGTTACCGGATCAAGATCAGTGGCGATATCGATGACGAAAGCTGATAATAAATTTAACACGGAAATTATGTAGCAGTCTATTGCTGGATCTATTCTGACATAACATAGAATCAACGTAAACATATTTGTTTTTGCTGAATTTTTATTCGGAAAGCAGACGATGTTTTGATCTTGTTCGACTGAATATTTGTTTCCATGCTTTCGAAGTACGTTTGTATGTATAAACACCTATTGCTGTGATTTACGCAAGTAGTGAGTCGAGCCCGTCATCGCTAAATCCATCTTTAAAGACATATGTGTAATTTCCGACAGCAAAGTCGCCGTGATTTATCGATGCATCGGTAGGTTGTTTGGTGTCCGCCATGTTGGTGGGCAGACAAAAATAGTGCATTACCGTAAACCATGTATAATTGCGCACGGAAAATCAGAGACCTGTATAACGTGATTATATACCTCTGAATGACTTTAATTAACCAATCACAATCCAGTGTTTACTGAAGTCATGGTAGAATAATTGTTTATAGATCTTATAAACCTGAATGCTCATATAACGCTCTTTCAATCGAGTTGTTTTCCCGAAGGAGATAGCAGGGCCTTATACACCTAGATAACACCCTCCTAGCAGTGAGTGAGTGAGTGAACATGGTTTTAAGCCGCTTTAAAAAAATTATTCCAGCAATATCACGGCGGGGGACACCAGAAATGGGCTTCACACATTGTACCCATCGGCTTGAAGAACCAACGCTTTAACCACTAGGCTACCCCCGTCCCCTCCCCGTCCCCTCATCCCTCCCCTTTAGCCACGCAAAGTCATAGCGCATGCACCGATAAGAAGTGTTGAGGGTATAAATAACAAATGTTTCAATTCATGTAGAGTATGCTTCACGGAATCTGCCCCCGAGGATGTATAATGTACAGATACTGGTGGGGTACATCTACCGTCTTCAAGGGATTGTCCTCCTCTGCACCTTGTACACGCCCCCGTTGTCTGGTCGCATCTCACGCAGTTCTCGCTACATGGGTATTGACACCGAGTTCCGTACGTCAGATCTCTACACTCAAAACAGTTGCCATCTCTGTCACATGTGTGATGCAAACAGGTGTCACTGCATTTATCATCACAGTCAGGACCATGATAGCCATCAGAACACCGTGAACATTGCCCAGTGTCGCGAAGACATGACTCACACAGTGCTGGGCAAAGTCGCTGACAGTCTTCTCCAAACCAGCCATCTTTGCATTCCTTACAATGACCATGGCGGTCACAAGTGTTGTTTTTACAGTTTCCATGAATGCATCTCTTGTGGCAGTGTTTGCCATAGAAACCTGGTACACATCCATCTACACAGGAACCGTCATGGCTGTAACATCGGGCAGCTGTACATGAGGTGCTGCACGGTGTGTTGCAATGAGACCCGTGCCATCCAGGTTCACAGCCCTCGAGACAAGCCTTGGTGTGACGGTCACAGTTTCTGTAACCCTCCCGGCCTTTATAGCAGGTTTCAGGACACGTCTCGGTGCATTTGGAGCCATGGTAACCAGGATGACACTGTTCACAGATTCCGGAACCTCTGTCACAGCCAGTAGTCCAACAGTGTGGACATCCCCTATCACAGTTTTGTCCGAAGAAGCCCGCTTTACAGCCCAAGAGACAGTAGCCCTTATCGTTGCATTTTCCCATCAGACAGTTGTCACATGTTGTATTACAGTAATCTCCTGTCCAGCCTGTCTCACACCCGGTGATACACTGTTTTGTTTGCTTTTTACAGGTTTGATGTTTGCAGTTGGGCGGACATGATTCGGTACAGTGTGTACCGCTCCATCCTGGTCGACATGCTTCAGAACACGCACCTTTGTCTCGATCACAGTAGACATTCCCGCCTATCACACTGTTGGCGCATTGAAGTGGACATGTTTGGTCGCAGTCTCGTCCGTAGATCTCTGGTCGGCATCTGAAACACTGGCCAGTTTGTCTGTTACAGCCGTCTGTATGGCAGCGTCCATGACATGTGTAGCTGCATGTTGAGCCGTAACACCCGGGTTGACATGACTGACATCGTAGACCACCGTTACCATGGAGACAGCCATCGGTAGAACATGAACGTTGACCTGTATGTACAAAATATAGTTTTTTGTTTGGGCAATACCAACATTACAGATGGTAGCTTCTTTAAAAGTCAACTTTGATATAATTTGATGTAGATATCGCTAAATCTTCAAAATGAGGAAGAAATATGATACCAAAGTGACCATTACTTCATTTATGTAGCATATATCTAGACACTAACATGTACATATTCATATGAGATTAGAGCATTCCGTCTACAAGAAATAATCTGTAACATACATGTGCCCCGCGTACGAATTACAGTTCAACATGTACAACATACGTTCCCCTTGAACTCGATTGGATCAAAGCACACATACCTTCCACTTTCAATGTAACCGTTGCCAGGGTTGCCACAGTCACCAAAGTTACCCACTCAATTCGATTCATATTGTTAAGAATCTGTAAATGTATAGTGGTAGAAATAACATTTGAATGAAATGAAAGTAAATTTCATTACATCATGTTTCCTTCCAGTCAGAAAAAGTCTTAACTTAATATCGAAACTTATGCACGCACAGAAGATGAATGGTACACGATTTGCAATTCTGTTTCGTGAAGGACGTAAGGGCAGCACATTCCCTAATTCTTGTACGTATATAATTCTATATATACATTGTACGTTGTTTTGTTAAAATCAACTCATTGGTTTTCTCTGCAGATTGAAAGTGTACTATATGATATTTCAATGGGTTGATGGTAGACCAAAATGTTGTGTTTTATGCAAAATGTCCAGTTAATGATTTTTTACAAGTAGTATTTGCATTCTTTCTGACTGACCACAAAGCGCATTAAACGTAAAAGCACCCATCTTTTCAGGTCCGCCATTAATGATCATTCAGCACAGACATTCGCTCTCCAGATTGTTTTAGTGTTCAGTTGTCAGTACATTGATATTCTTGTATTCCAGTAATCTATGTACATACCGGAATACTGATCGGAGACGCTCTAGACGGCTGTGTTACATACACCCAGCCATGTCGTTGTGATATAAACACGCAACATACCTGTATGTATCTACACGCTCGTATTGCGTAACATCCGAATGCCCCCTTTTGGTTTTTCCAGTCCCCAGGACGCTTGGCTAATTTCCACGTGTCGTGACGTGAGTATCTGATAACCTGTCAGTGAGGCTTCACAGTGAGACACACTGATAACCTCTGCTTGATGTCCTTGATTTGTATGCATGTATATATATAAGTACAAAATGCTTTCTCTGTAAATATATACTGAGTCAAAAAAGAAACTTCACAAAATGTAATTTGAAAAATAATGAATAATGTTTCTCTGATGATACATCTATGTATCCGAAATGGGATTCCTATCTTTCGACTCTAGAAAAACGTTAGCAAAACCAACTCAAATCCATCCATTCGTCGTGCAAATGACGTTAGTGCCAAATCAGGTTTTGCTCGTGCAGACGATCACGTGATCTTCGCATCGAAGTTTTCTTCATATGCACGTGTTTGCATTGGCCTCAAGAATTGAAAAAACACTTTTAAACCACAGTTCTAACGGTGCTTGAAATGCCACGATTGTCAAATGTGCAATGTGAACGTGCCGTTGGCATGTTGCAAGCGCGAAGATCAGTTATTGACGTCGCAATAGCAATGGGATGCAGCCGTCGTACTGTGTATGACTTGCGAGGTCGTCTACAACAAACTGGCACCACTTCTGATCGCCCAAGGTCGGGTCGTCCACGTGTGACGTCACGAGCAGAAGACCGTCAAATCGTCCTACGTCACCTACGTGACAGATTTCTGCCAGCTACACGAACCAGGGCTGAGATGTTTAGAGGTCGACTGTCCTCACAGACCATTCGAAATCGGTTGCGGGCTGCCAATCTCCATTCTCGACGTCTATATCGTGGGCCAATATTGACGCCGTTTCATCAACGTCAACGTCTGCTGTGGGCCCAACGTCACCTCCGATGGACCCAGAGAGACTGGAATCGAGTCGTCTTTAGCGATGAATCCAGGTTTACCCTCAGATTCGCGGACGGCAGGCATAGAGTCTGGAGACGACGTCGTGAACGGTATGCCCAATGTTGTGTACAGGAAGTCGACAGATTCGGGGGGCGGAAGTTGCATGGTGTGGGGTGCTTTCTGTGGGAACAAACGTTCCCGACTTCTGGTCATCCGTGGAAACCTCACAGCTGCTGCTTACCGCGACCAGGTGCTCAGCCCTGAACTCGTTCCTTACATGGCGGCTCATGGCCCAGGTCTACAGTTCCAGCATGATAATGCTCGGCCGGATACCGCGATGTTGACACGAAATTTCCTTCAAAACGCTGGAATCAACTTCATGGACTGGCCATCGAGGTCCCCTGACCTTAATCCAATAGAGCACGTTTGGGATGCACTTGGGAGAAGGCTTCGTGGTCTTAGGAACCAACCTCAGAATTTGCAGGAACTTGGCGCTGCCTTGCAAGAGCAATGGCGCAGAATCCCCAACCACGTGTTCACAAGCATCAGGCAGTCGATGAGGAGACGGTGTTTGGCAGTGGTGAATGCGCGGGGCGGCCATACACGATATTGAACTGAGAAATTTCGCATTTTTACTCATGTGACTTGACATTCTGTATACCCCTGTTTTGGAACGGCGGTGTAGCCTAATGGAACTGATTATGGCACTGTCAGTGTATCGAGTACATCACACAGATCTCAGCAAAAAAATGATAACAATTTAACCATCTTACCATCTCTTGTTCTTTTATAGTGCCCTGAAGTAAGAATGTGAAGTTTCTGTTTTAACTCAGTATATCTCTTAAGTTATATCTAATGTTTTATACCTGCATACCTAAAGCAGTATGAGAATTACAGCAGATTCAGTATTTCGATTAGCAGTATGACTCAGAACTGATAACCTTTGGCTCATGACTAAGAACGGTTAAACACATAGTGGAGACAGAAAGTCGGGAATAAGAGAAAGATAAACATTGAGATATGAACTTGGCTAAAACTGTTCGTGAGGCGAAAACACGGCAAGGTCGTAGGAGGAAGGTTACGAAATACATGCGTTAAAGGGCGGAGACGGAAGTAGCAAATCACTGAAAATGGGAGTCACTGAACGGTGCTGTCCGAGACCCCTCTAATTATAATACACATGAGTGAAAGGACAGATACAGTTATTAAAGGTCACATGCAACCAAAAATCAAACATAATTAAAACACAATTATCATTTCTTCATGACATATAATATGCATTGCTGATTATGAAAAAACAAATAAACAAAATTATAAGCGTATAATCGCAAATCAAAAGTGCAATATTTTGTACTTGGGTTTACCTCCCTCGAAACGAAGCAGCCGGATACCGAACCCAGTCAGAGCGGGTGGGTGTGCACTCAAGTGTAACGGCTGGTTCATTAGCAGATGCCGCCTTCACGGCTCATTGTGTGTGTATATATAGAGATGTTGGGTTTTGTAAATACATGCTCATTTTTTGTGTATAACATTTTGCAATCAACAGACATCATAACATGTCATGTGTTCAAGTATCACACCTGCCTGTCTGTGTAATTACATAATGTGACAGAGACCGAACTCGGGCCATAAATCAATGCGTTTTGTTTATGGTGTATAGCCTGATTGGTGTTAAGGTCAAATTGCATGTGGTCAGTGATCGCAGTTGTGTATTGAATATTGTCATTAGCAGACAGGCAGGCAGACACACAGGTGTCAATAAAACAAGACATTGAGTTTTGTCTGTGACAGCGACATATCTATATCACAGTTAGAAATTCTGTCAACGCTAAATAATGACATTGCTTTTAAGTATCGAACTGAGAAAGTGACTCGGTAAGAAGAACGTGTGGTGAAATAGACAAATGAAATTATATAAACAGTTTATTTAATGTCATAACATATAAAAAGCTCGCGCCTGTGAGATATCAACAAAACATTATGAAAATAGCTCACACCAAAGCCTTCACCGAGTATTCACCTGACAGCCCGCTTCCAAGTTGCGCGAACCTATTTCACTGCGCACGTGCTATGAGCGCAGCCCAGCTGTTGAAACCCGTATTCCCCAGAAAAGTCTGGGGAAAATTAGTGAAACGTTTGAACTCCGATTTCGCGCGTTTTTTTTCATCGCGTTATTTTTCAACTTTATAAGTTGAATTTGCATTTTTGACGCTTTGTTTCGGTAAGTCCATACCGAAAGGTATCAGAATCTGCAAAGTTGTGTTTTACGTTGCATGTGACCTTTAACAAATCAAAACTATATGTTGAAATATGTGATCAAGATAAGGTCAGGCTCGTCTCATTTAAAAAGGCATGTTTGGGTGCTAAAAGAGAGAGCGAGAGAGTGCAGCGAGTGCGGAGAGTACTAGCTCAACATTTCGGAAGCCAATCCACTTTACTAAGTTCCCCGTAGGATACGAGCCTGCTCTGTCTTGTGTTGGAGTTGTACTTAGAGAGAAATGGACTGAGAGACAGTAAATCTATGTGAGTATAGAACTTGGTGTTGCATTTATCTTTGAATGTGATGTAGGCCAGTACATGAATGTGATGTAGTTAGTTAGGAGTCACGGTCGCCCGACGCCTCACTCCTTGACTGAGCATTCCTCATGGACCAAGTGAGTGCAGAGCTGGAGCTTACATTTCCCCTGACAATGTGGAACGACCATAATCAATAGGTAACTGTGGTAGGGTTTACTAGCACCCAAACGCCAGTTACGACATGGTGGAGTCTGCGGGTTTTCTTGAACAAAATGTTTAAGACGATCCCTTTCGCTGTTTTTCTTATGGTCGATCCTACACTTTTATTCCATTCCGTTGACGTTTGACCGTTGGTTCCCTTTTTCGCAGCGGGGATATGTTATCTATAGTTTTCCCTCAAGCTATTTGGAATTGTAATGCCTCGTACACACGATTCATATACATCTATGTCATACGACAGTCCGATCCAATCTCGTCCCATCACTTGGCATAACACTACCGACGTTTCACCCTCCCATCCCCCCTCCTCCTGCTCCTACGGACCTCTCCCTATCTCTTTCTCAGGAGGATTTAGAATTGTCATTTTCCCCTTTAAATGTGTCATCGGACAATAGTTCTTATTCTGCACCTGACTTCAATATGGGCGATTCCACTTTAATGCCAGAACATTTCACATGTAGGGACACGTCTCATGCTGCCGAGTGGCTTGACCGTTTTACTCATTTTGGTAACTTTAAAAGGTGGACTGATGCGCAGAAAATTGAAGTTTTCCCACTGTTTTTAAGGACGCGGCGTATCTATGGTACAAAGATCTGATAGAATGGGCAGAGGAAGAAATTGTCCGTTTTGATGAGATTGAGAAATTGTTCAAGGACATGTATGTCCATCCCACTGGCCGTTGGGCCCTTTTGGAAACTTTTGTGAGTCGAAAGCACTCACCTACGGAAACTATAGGTACTTATTTAGCGGACTTGACCGAAACATCTAGCCTGTTAGGAAAATCAGACACTTACTTAATGGACGCCTTTGTGCGGGGATGTGGTTTTAATGAAACAGCCAACTGTGCTTAATGAGGCAGTTTCATTTGCGAGATTGCCCAGGTCAG